CCTAGAGACTCCTCTAGGACAGGGCAGACCTGCCCCTCGCAGTTTCTGAGACTGATGCCGTCCCTAGAGACTCCTCTAGGACAGGGCAGGCCTGCCCCTCGCAGTTTCTGAGACTGATTCCGTTCCTAGAGACTCCTCTAGGACAGGGCAGACCTGCCCCTCGCAGTTTCTGAGACTGATGCCGTCCCTAGAGACTCCTCTAGGACAGGGTAGACCTGCCCCTCGCAGTTTCTGAGACTGATGCTGTCCCTAGAGACTCCTCTAGGACAGGGCAGGCCTGCCCCTCGCAGTTTCTGAGACTGACGCTGTCCCTAGAGACTCCTCTAGGGCAGGGCAGACCTGCCCCTCGCAGTTTCTGAGACTGATGCTGTCCCTAGAGACTCCTCTAGGACAGGGTAGGCCTGCCCCTCGCAGTTTCTGAGACTGTCACTCTTGACGGGCATTGAAAGCCACGCTATCTCCTGCAGGGATCCTGGTGGTTTCAAAGGTCTCCCTTTATGCTTAGCAGTCCAACAGGTAACCACTAGCCCACCAGGGTCCCTCTTGGTTACCAAAAACCCCAAACCCCAACTCACTGCTAACAAGTCAATGCTGGCTCACAGTGGCCCACTAAGATGGTAGACCTGTGCCCATGCCTTTGCAAGACTGTCAATCTTTACAGAAGTAGAAAACTCCGTCTTTCCCCTGTACAGCAGCCGGATGGTTTTGAACGGTGGACCTTAGAGTCAGCAGCCCGATGTAACCACTACACTACTGGGACTCCTGAAATCATGCCAAGAGTGAGCTAAATGCAGATGCCCAGGCCGCACACCAAATAGATAGAATTGGTTTTTTCCCATGCTAGGGAACCAAGTGTAACTGTGTTTGGCAACTACTCCCCCAAAACAAACAACTCCCTGCCATCAATTTGATTCTGACGCATAGCGATCCTGTGATAGGGCAGAACTGCCCCTGGGGGTTTCTGAGACTGTCACTCTTTGTGGGAGTAGAAAAACTCATCTTTCTCCCCTAGACCTTGAGGCTAGCAGCCCAGCACAAAACCCGCATGGGTGGTGGTGGTGGTGGTGGAGTGGCTACATCCTGGAGTTTTCATAATTAGGGAATTAAGATGCCCTGGAGTCGTTGGCCTAAAAGGCATTGGGGTTGGAGTTGCCAGGCCCCTGGGCATGGAATGGAAGGTCTTACAGTAATCCCAGGGATGAAGCACTGTTGGTGGGGTTTTTTGGCTGTGTTTGATCATCACAGAAGACCGCGTCAAGTGGAGCCAGGAGCAGAGGAACATGCGGCTTGGGGGAGGGAGTGCCCCCTACGAGGCTGAAGGAGAGCTGAGGGATGAGCATGGTGGCTGGGGAGGCGGGTGACCGGCTTCGAGTCCCTCTGCACTGCAGTAACCATAGGGGTCCCTGGGTGGTACAGCGTTTGGTGGTCCCTACCCCCCAAGAGACGCCACCAAAGTCAGGCCTGGCAATCTGCTTGTGAGAGGCCAGGGCCTTAAAAGCCCCGGCTCTACTCGGCACACAAAGTCAACTCTGCAAAACCGAAGAGCGGCTGCAGCTGACTTCACCGGGGAAATAGTCCTTTGGCTCCGTGCGAATGTCCGCTAGTGGGGGCGGAGGGGAATCCAACGCTCCCATCCTCTGATGTGAACAAAGAATCATGGTCCTGCTTCCATTTTCCGCACAGAGTTCTCGTGGCACTAAGAAAACGAGTAGCATCATCACCTTGGACAAAGCGTATTAACCAGCACCTGATAACATATCAGTATCCATGGAGGAAAAGTCCACCCCAAGCCTTTCTCTCACTCCAAAGAGATTTTTCTCCCCTAAGCACTTAGCACACTATTCGGGGAGATAAAATATTCAAATCCAGCATCCTAAAAGGGATAAGAGAAGACTGTCGCTTCTGCCTCACGAAGATGAGTCAGACAGAGTTTATGCTAACCAACCAGAGGACTCGGCGGCTCCCCTGGAACTAATCACCTTAGTCTTATCTCCACTCAGTCTCGGGCAGGAACAGCAGCCGCCAACATGCCAAGGTCGCTGTAAGAAACCTCGAAAAGAGATGACTACAGAAACAGGCTTCCCACCGAGGGGCCTGCAGACAGCCCCCGTGGCTCCAGGGGAAAGCTAGCCATGCTTCAGTCTGAGGTAAACAAGTGGATAATAGATCGTTTAGACGGGCTGTGGGAACACCAGAAACTATCTCTGCCAGGAGGATGTGCAGCAACCCCCCCCATTCTGGCGGCTCTGCCCCGTGCTGGAGAGCAGGCATTAATGTGCCTCATTATTTGCCTTAACTATGATGCTATCAGTGGTCTGAGGATCAAAGCTCTGGCTGGGACCACATGCAGAGCATCGGCAGTGGCTTAGATCATCTTGGGGACCAGTTAGCTGTGGGGAAAAATAAAACTCTAAACCCAACACGGAAGGATACAGCCAGCTCTGTTCCGACATCTGTGGTCCAGATACTGTAGAAAGGATTCGTCAGTTGTACCCCTCTACAAAGAGAAACAAGATGGAAAGGCAATTCACGGGAAGACCAAAGGGGGAATGCTCCTTGTTGCATATTCCTAAATGTGCAGCTCAGCTGAAATTAGACCAAGGAATGCACCGGAGAACCTAATGAGAACGGGAGATTGAGAACGTGACCAGTCCAAATGTTTTGCATCCCTGCCAGGTTGGTCTCTGACTCCATTACAATGCCTAGCTCTGGATGCGTCGAGGGCAAACTCTTCCGTGCCAGAGAAAATGTTCATGGTCACCCTCCTGCTTTGGGGAATGGTCCCCTGAAAGAGATGGGAGTGGGCATGTCTGTTCTGAGCCTGGTGGGCACTTACTCACCTCTCACACATGTCAAATATGAAGAGGCAGAAAGAGCCAACTGCAATGGGTCCGACTTGCTTCCAGTATCCTGCAATGTGATTCCGCTCATGCTGATCCTAAGGAAAACCAAATGGCGACATGAGTCAGGGATAGGAGCAGAGCAAAGCCATTCTAGAGGTGAGCCAGTTGTGCAGACTAGACTTGCTGAGCAAGTACTGGACACCATGCTAGACTTCATGCATACAAGAAGGAGTAAGATAGAAATCTCTGTTCGTAAGGAGCATATTTTCTTTGGAGGAGTCCAGCACAAAAATGATTACAAAACCAGCCGATAAAGGCTATCGATAGCAAAAAGAACAGGATGCTATGGGAATAAATGAAGGGGCTTACTCCCCCAGTCTGGGGTTGTTCTGTGGTCCTCCCAAAATGGCTCATTCAGAATTAAATCATGTGTGATTAACATCTTTGGAAGTAGAGGTATTTGGGAAGATAGGGTGGCCTTTGTAGGAGCAAACAGAGGTGTCCAAATAGGCCCAATGAAAGAGGCCTCCCATGGTTGAAACAGACATTTTTTTCCTGCTTATCATTAAAAGCAAGCATGGCTCTTCTGGATAGACGCACAAGGACACAGCATTTAAAAATGGGAGAAAGAATAGGAAAACTAAGAAGGGCAAAGACATGTCTGAGGCCCCAGGCAAGGACCCCGGTCTGTGAGTCCACACCAGCTTACTGCCGGTGAGCCACTCTGGCTGGTGGTCCTGCTGCGGAGGCAGCATCACCCCACCACCTTGGGGCCAAGGGCTCCTTCTCAACGTGTCACTGTTGGAGGACCCCCATGAGGAGTTCTGCAGTCAGCAGGGGTTTGCTCCCCCCTCCTGCTATTTCCTGGGAAGGCAGCAAGTCTTCAGGACAATGGTCAAACCCTGGTGGAGTTCAAAAGCAGTCCAACCCACTAGGGGAACCCAGTTCCTGGCATGAGGACCAAGCTCCAGCTGGCTTGCTGCCTTAGCCACAATGTGATGCCAGCACCATTTGAAGTTTCACCTATGGTACCTTCCATCATCCTGAAATACAATGCGGAGCCTATGAAAATTAGTGCTGATATTAGCGAGCAGTATTTCAGGGGTTACCACATCACTGCAAAGATCTGCTTCCTAGAAAGAGCCGTGCCTGCATGAAGCAAAGCAGAAGTTCCCTCAAGTCAAAGGAAAAGAAATCATCATCATTATCATTGCTGGTTGGTGTACCCACTCACTGCTAAGTATTTTGCTCGAATTTATCTCATTTAATTCTCACCTATAAGTTAGGCTTTCGTTCGAATTTGCAGTTGAGGAACCTGAGATGGAAAAGACTTAAGGCACTTGCCCAAGGTCACTCAGCTAGCCGATGGTGAAGAAGGAAGAATCTGAGCCAGAGGGCTGACTACAGTGATCTTGCACTGTAACCACTGGCTTCCCTGCCTCACCCGCAGCTAGAGCAGAGGTGGAGGGCTGGCGGGGTCATGTTGTGCTGTCGGCCCCTTCCCCAGTGGGCTCTTACCATCATGTGCTCGCCACAGAAGATGATCCAGAAGGAAAGAAGCATCGCATAGAAGATGCCCTGCCGGATGTCACCAAACAACAGCATCCAGGTCCAGTCAAAGCCAATGGAAAACCATTCGACTGGGATGTTGATGAAGGTCATGGAAATCCCCAGGGCAAAGATGACTCTGATGGGGAGAACACACCAGGAACACTTGTTTATTACTCGAGGGGCCAGGCTTGCAAACTCAAGGAGCGGATTCGGGGGCCCCAGAAGCTACTTATTACGACAGAAGCCACCGGATCATTTTCTTAGCTCTCACAAGTTTCTATAGAGATGCGAAATGTCCCACTTAGCTGGTGCCACTACTAGATAAAGAGAATTCCTTCAGCCCTGCTGCACAATCAGCCCTCATCTCCGTAGTGACCCGCACTGTATTTCCCACATGTGGTTGGCTCCCTTGACTTCACCGACAGTCCTCATTGGATTTAATTGCTTTCTCACAGGGATTCGGGCATTATTCCCTCAGCAACAATGAATGATGAATTACAGGAGCCTGTTTATTTCAATAATAAATGGCTCCAAATAAATACCCATGAAATATACATTCTTTAGGCGGCTGGTTTCATTTGTATTCTCCCCCATCATACTACGGTGACTTTGCTTTTTCTATCCAAACAAGATTCATGATGTTGCTAAGTGATTCACTTTCATTTATCCCCATGCAATACATGTTAGTAATATGGCGTGTTACTGTGTCCAGGCTAGAGACCTAAATGAATAGGACTTGCTTTTCCACTCACGCAGCGATTGTTTAGTGGGAGGGGGGCCAGGTAAAGAGGCGACTGAAAGAGTTGTCCGTGCCAAATCACATGACAGAGCCCCAAACTGAGCGAGACTGTGCAGAGATCAAGCAGACGGGGAAGGACGGGCCCAGCACAGAGGCCCGCAACACGAAAGCCGCGGTTCTCCACCTTCCGAGTGCCGCGGCCCTTTCATACATTTATTTCATACAATAAAATCATTTTTGTTGCTACTTCATCACTGTCATTTTGCTACTGTTATGAATTGGGTGACCCCCGTGAAAGCATCATTCAACCCCCCTCCCCAAAGGGTCGCGACCCACAGGTTGAGAACCGCTGGTCTAAAGCATCTGAGGAGCTGCAAATAACACTGATCAGAAAAATTCGGAAAGTGAGACCAGAGAAGAGACCCCGCCTGACAACAGAATTAGACATTTATCTCCGGGGGACTGGGGACCTAATAATGAGTTTAACAATGGAATGGTATGGCTCTTTCATTAATTCCTAGAATACATATGCATTGGGTGTCTGCCATGTGTCAATTACTATTCCAGAGGCTGAAGAGAACTGGAGTGTCAAAATAGGCACGGGTCTTGCTTTCATAAGAACCTGTCGATGGGGTATGGGGGGGTGGGGGAGTGGGGAAGACAGTAAACAAAGAATGAGCATTTTAAAGAAAAACAAAACATGGTATGACACCCAGGATATGGACAGCAAGTAGAATAAGGGTTTCAGGGAGTTGGGGAACAGTGGTGAGGGGGTTGGAGAGGATGTCAAGGAGTCCATGTAGAAAAAGATTGTTTGACAACTGACTGTGGTAGCAAGAGTACAATTCTAATTGATGTGACTGAAATTTGGAATGATATATGTATTAAATCCCGACTAATTAAAAACAAAACCGGGCAAGGCAACAGAAAAACACTGGGAGTGCTATTTCCTATCAGGCACTGGGAAAGCCTCGAAAGGAAACAGACATTGCAGCCGGGAAAGAAGGCAGGCAGGCAGGCACTGTGCCAGACAGCTCTCTGGGGAAGAGCATTTAGTCAGAGGGAAGAGAGAGTGCGAAGTCTCTGGGGGACAGAGCCTGCCGGGCACACTTGAGCCCCATCAAGGAGGCTGATGGGTGGGAGAGGACGTAAGAGGAGGAGCTCAGAGGTGGCGTGGGGCCAGATCATGGAGGGCTTTGCAGGTCAGGGCAAAGGAGAGGAAATGTCAGGAGAGAGCTCGGAGTCGTGGAGTGGCATGACCTCATTGACAACTTTGCATATGTAGCCTGAGCCAAGACGTTTGCAAGGAGGCAAAACTATGAAGTCCAAGGAGGAAAATGGTGGTGAGAAGGAGAACACGTTGCGAGGTTATTTCTCGTGAAGTAGGTGGGACGTGACGGTAGGTGAGAGTAGGGGGTGGGGGTCCCAGTGGAACTTTTGCAATATCCTGGTAGATCGGACGGTGGGCAGGAGGGGAAAATATGAAGAGCAACTGGTGACCCCACAGGTGTAGCTGGAGCGACTGCAAAGGCAGAAGCCAGGCGAACAGCAGGCCAGAAAAGGGAAGCATTACATGAGCTTCTTGGGTACTCATATGTGTTACATATATATTTTTTAATGTAAGTGAACATATAAAGAAAGTAGAGTCTAGAGTTGCGAGAAGTTTGGTTGGAAATAGACATTAAGCCATCAGAGTATAGATCACTGTAAAAGTCATGATACTCTATAAGCTCATCGGAGACAGAAGTGTAGCTAACGAAGAGAAGAGCTCAAAGACCCGAGTCCTGGCTTTGAAGCCTAAGTGGTTGGCAAACCAAACCCACTAGCATCAAGTCAATTCCTTCTCCAGACAACCATACAGGACAGGGTGGAATGGCACCTGGGGTCTCTACTATAATGTTTCACAGGAGTCGAAAGCCTCCTCTGTCCCACAGAGAGGCTGCTGTTTGCAAACTGCTAGTCTTCAGGTTAGCAGCCCAACACGTAAGCACTATGCCACCAGCAGTCCGCAAGAGGCTAACAAGATGTGAGCAAACAGCAGGAGAGACCAACTGATGGGCATCAAGACAGAGGATGGCCAAGAGGAATTGAGAAGGAGGACCAGTGAAGAGAAAGGGAAGGGTTAAATCACATGCTGGTGCTGAGAGAAGGAAAATATTGAGGCACGACCGCTGGATTTGGACTACGGAGGTGGAACAGTTTCAGTGAAGTGGTGGGGAAGGATCATGGAAGATTAATTATGGAAAAGATTTTCAGGAGTCTTGCAGTAAAGAAGAACAAAACATGGATATGAAGACTTTAGGGGGAAGTGGACAATAGAGAGACTACTGGGAAATGGTACATTTGTATACTGACCGGAAGGATCTAGCATTCCCACAGATCTCCCATAGAATGATACGGGAGAGAAAGAGACCATATTTGCAGGAGCATCATCCTTATACAGGTAGGAAGGACTGGGCTCCGAGCAGTTCGGCCACCGTAAGAGAAAGCAGTATCTGGGTCTGACAGTAGAAATGAAGTACAGATACAGAAAAATGGACCAGAAATATAAGTACAGTCCTGAGAATGTAATCATAATTCTGCACGTCCAAGAAAGAGGAGTCCAGAATGACTCCTGGTTGACTCGCTAGTCCACGTAACACACTGGGTGCTTGAACCAGACCACCCCACCCCACCCCCCACATCCTGCCTCCAGTACAAGCAGGAGTGTGGCAGGCCATCGGATGCCACTGACTGAAATGAGTGTTCCCAAACCAGCTCTTACTTTTCCAGAAGCACTGGGGGCCGGGACATCATGGTGATCCTCCTCCAGTACCACACCATGATGATGAAGATGCTGGGTGTAAGGAAGGTCTTCATGGCAAACCACACCTTGGTGAAGCCTCCATTTTGATGGATCCCCTAGACAGAGGTCAATAATAATTTTGAAGGGGAATGAATGTATCATAGTATTATTTTTGACCATCAAACACATGAGAAGGAAGAGGCTAGAGACTGGGTGTTCTGAATTTTCAAGATCTGAGAACTTTTAATATCCCACACATACATTGTCCTTATTCTCCCCTTGGCCCCTCCTCACACACTGTAGAACTAAGTTGGTATCAAAAGGTACAAAAAGGGACCCTTTATGCTACAAAAATGGTTAAGATTGGGATCAAAGATTTTTGATCTGTAAAGATTTTCATTAAAAACCTGGCGCTCTCTTAGATGCTAAAAATGTAGAGATTGGTCAAGTATGGTAAGGTAAATCTTTATAATGGAATGCTATACAATATTGTAAGATAGATGAGGGAGTTCAAAAGTTCAAGAAAAATGTAATGAAAATATAATGGAATTTTCCCACAAACTTTTTGAAGTCTCCCTCTATTTATATGATAGCCTTAATATTACATGCAAAAGCAGGAATACAACGTGTTAGATATAACATCCCTTTTTGTAAGGGAACAATTACGTGTCAGCCGCTCTTGTGAGCTGCTGTAGAGTCAGCTCCAACTTATGGTGACCTTATGTGTAACAGAACGAAACGCAACCTGAACACACCTGGTCCTGGGCCACCTTCTTGAGACACATCAACATCTCAACAGTGGTGACTATTCTGGATGGTAGGATATTACAGTAACTTGATGGTATTCTGTGTATTCACCAGCAATATTAAAAAAAACATTTCTGGTATCATCTTTGCTCATTTGGAAAGACTTTATCACCTAAAACACCACTGTGCCCTTTAACACGTGTGCTCGCAAATCAAATGCATAACTCGTGTCTTGTTCACAATTGTGTTCGCCGTAACCAGGTCTGCACTGAGCAGTGAGTAATTGTCTTCCATTTCTGTAACCACAGGCACAAATGAGTTCACCTTGTGTTCTCTCCTCTCACAAAGACCAAATTAGTCCCACTTCTCATATGAGACAACTGAGGCACAGGGATGCCAGGAGGTAGAAGGCATTTCCTATTAATCCGAGTACCCATGAACTAGTGCCTTGCACACTTCTGCCTGCCTGGATCGCTTACCACCAGCCGGATATCCTTGATCTCGCCGATCCCAACGTTGATTTTCTTCTTCTCGTTCACAGGCAGTCGGATGTTTAGGAGGTAGTACTTGTGAGCTACGGACCCGATCTCCATGAATGGAAGGACATCACACTCGTAGTAACGCCCCTCGTGCTCTAGGGTCTGCAAGAAGAACAGGGGGTGGGAGGCAGGCCACTACTTCAATAGACTGTGCCCGAGCTCTCCTAGCTCTGTGCCGTCATGGATTACCAGAAAGATGTGCTTCAAGGAAAAGATTCACGGGCTAGTCTAATAGGGTTCATTACAATCGAGACCTGGTGTTTATCCCTCTCTCCAGCAAAACAGCCACATTAGACGCAAAACCAGAAATGAAAAGTACAGCACAGAAATCCCTTCTATCTCTTAATACCCTTTGTGCGCAACACTAATAAAAAAAACCCTCCCAAGCCTGACTCCCTTGTTCATTCCAAGTCAAGAGAAAGCCTGATGTTCGCAGCGCTGTATTCCAGAGGATTCGCAAGGCCTTGCAGAAGCCCATCAGCGGGCCTCTCTTTGGAGGCATGGCTGGATAGGAGCAAACTGCTACTAAACCTTAATAATCAAGCACTTCACCAAATGTACCCCCCAGAACTTCTCATTTGAGGTGCACTTTCAAGCAACCTCCTGTACCAGGGCCGCAGGGGCCTTTTATTTGCAGCAGGTCACCTGGAACTTCTCAGACTCTGTTGGCAAACCAACCTCTTTAGAGTTCAGGAGGAAACCCTGGCTGCAGTTCATACCCCAGTTTGTGCTGGCTAATTGTTTTCAGAAAGCTAAGAAAGATTTCTTTGTAGTGACTGGACAAGAAAAGGAAGATCCTTGGACTTCGGAGAAGATCAAGCAGGCTGGAAGTTAATAATGAGGTAAGTTTGCCATCCTGGCTCACTCTGAAAGTTCTGTCTCAAAGCTTCCTAACAAGACGCAAGATGAGAAGAAGGAGCAGACATTTTAATTACACAAAATTGGCCCCATTTCTAGAAAGAGGTTTCTTGCCAAGCTGCTGCCCAGTAGAGGGTGGTGGGAGATGGGACAGCAGAGACACAGCTTGCTTTTGAAAATGAACGGTGCTCTACCTCCCCAGGGCTCCTGGCTAGAGGTGGTTATGAGCTTGGAGGTAGCTGAGCTTTTTCCCTGATAGAGTGGATGACTGCAGGGTTTCTATGCCAATTGCAATGCTTGCTGGCACCAGCTGGACAAGTGATAGAAAAGGCCTAATTAAGCGCGAGTAAAAGAATTTCACGGGACCCCAGAACTTATAGCAAATATCCAGAGTAAAACACCCAGGGGGGACATCTCAAGTAAAACGACAGCAAGGGTCTTTCTTTGGTCTCCATGTGGAGGGTTTCTTCTCTTCCTGTGATCTTGGGGGGTTTCTTGCCAGGCGGTCTGGCAGTTAAAGTTTAGGACAACAATAAACCGACCTTGGTACAGAGACAGAAGACATAGGACAGGACTTAAAAACTTCATGGAAAAGATGGGGTTAAAAAAAATAATGGAATCTTTCCATAACCTTTTTGAAGTCCTTTGTACATGGTGGATGTAGAGATAGCAGTTTTAGTATTGTGCATCCATTTAGTTGTTTATTTATTTTGGTATCAGTATTTGAAGACCAAACCAGGAAATTAAAAAGTTACCATCAAATCCATTCGGACTCCTCATGGTCCCAGGGATGTCAGAGGGCTCTGCACTCCAAAGGGAATTCAACGGTTGACTTTTCAGAAGTAGATCACCAGGCCTCTCTTCTTAGGCACTCTGTGTGGCCTCAAAGCTTCCCCCTTCTCTTTTAGCAGCACCTTAACGGTTTGCACTACCCAGGGAGCCCCACGTGAAGACAGACTGGGCAGATGTCTGGCTTATGTCCTTCTATACTTTCCCTCCCCGCTCATCCACAACGACACCCTCAGCAATCACGGCAACTTTGCAGGAAAGTCTGGTGAAAGTTTACAAAGCAAATTGATTTTTTTTATTCAACAATTCATACACATTTTGTTGCACAACCTTGGTGGCGACCTCCTCAAGGTACAAGCGCAGAGTAGCCATTTCCTCTCAGCCATCTTTCCTTCTCCTTCCTGTCTTTTAAGCTTTACTTTGGGGCAAATGTTGCCCTTTTAGGCTCATATGGTCAATTGATCTGAGTATGTTCACTTTATAGGCCTATCTGTTGCTTGGCTTCCAGATGATCACCTGGGAGAGATTCAATTCCAGGCTTAAAGGGTCCCTACGGGCCAGTCCCCGGGGATGAACCATTCTCTATCAGACTGGTAGGCCAGGCCATTTTTTGGATGATCTTTGAATTTTGTTCCACAGTTTTCTCCCATTCTGTCTGGACCTTCAGTCATTCCAATCAGAGGCGTGGACAACGGCGGTCAAGCGCCATCTAGTTCTTCTGGTCTCTGGGTGTGGAGACTGGGGTTCCGCAGTTCACGAGCTCTTTGGACTAATCATTTTCCTTGAACTTTTACTTTTGTTCATTCTTGACTCTAGATGGGGAAGACTAGTAATTTTATCTTAAGTGCCTACTCACAAGCTTGTCAGACCCCAGTTGCCACTCACCACAGTAGGGTGTGGAACACTGTCTTCGTGGACGATACACCAATCGATCTTGATGTTCTTCAAGGCTGCTGTTTTCGGTCCCAAGTCTCCAGTGACTCGGTCCCTCAAGGTGTCTGGTAACGGCTGATTAGGTTCCATAACTTTGTCATGATCTTTTTTTAATCTTCTGAGATCTGAGGGGCTCTTCCCAGACACTTCCAGTTGATAAAAATTTAGCATAACAGTTTAGCAATATTTTTCGGAAGAAAGAATTCTGCTTCTTTTCCAAACTTCAGCTGTTGTTGTTGTCAGGTGCCACAGAATCCGTTCCAACTCATGGTGGCCCAATGTCCATGGAGCGAAACGCTGCCTGGTCTTGCACTGTCCTCACTCACAATCGTCATGTTTGAACCCACTGTTGCAGCCACCGTGCCATTCCATCTCCTTGAGAGTCTTCCTCTTTTTTGCCAACCGTGTCTGCTTTACCAAGTATGGCGTCCTATGGAAGGGGCTGGGCTCTGCTGATAACCTGTCTGAAGTACATTAGGACCAAGTCCCAATATCTTTGCTTCCAAGAAATACTCTTGCTGCACTTCCTCCAAGCGGTTCTGCTTGTTCTTCTGGCAGTCCACAGACGGTACTTGTAATACTCGTCAGCAACACCAAAATTCAAACGCTCCTCCTTTACTCGCTGCCCAGCATTCACACGCATATGAGGTGAATGATAATACCATAACATGGGACAGCTTTGTTCTGTAACACTTTAAATAGATCTTAGTCTATACCAGGTGTGTCCAGTGCAATACATCCTTTGATTCTTTTGAACGCTGCTTCCATGGGTATTGGCTGTAGATTCAAGGAAGGTGAAATCTCTGACAATGGCACTCTGTTCTCTGTTTGTCCTGATGCTCTCTATTGATCCAGCTTTGAGGGTTTTAGTTTGGTTTACACTGCATTGCAAACCACATGGAAGGCTGTAGTCTTTGATCTTTAGACATATGTAAGTGCTCAAGTCCTCTTGGCTTCCAGCAAACAAAGTTGTGTCATCTACTTATTCGTGGCTGTTAATGAGCCTTCCTCTAATCCTGTTATGATGTTCTTTTTCAGAGAGCACAACTGCTCAGGTTATTTGCTCAGCACACATATTGAGTAAGTATGGTAAAAGCCATAATTAGGACCTATACTTGTCCTTATTTTAAAACATGTTCTTTAAAACATCCTCTTCTCCTACTAGCACAACAGTCTCTTGATCTGTGTCCAGGTTTCATATGCGTACAATCAAGTATTCTAGAATTCCAGAATTCTTTACACCGTTACCCAGGGTTGGTGAAGACAGGGGCAGATGCCTTTGCATAGTCAATAAAGCACAGGAAACATCTTCTGGGATCCTCTGCTTTCAGACAAGGTCCATGTGAAGTCAACATGTTACCTCGCATGTTACGCCCTCTTCTAAATTCAGCCTGCGTTTCGGGTAGTTCTCTGTTGATCTACTGCTGTAATCAATTTTGAGTGATCGTCATCAAAATGTTATTTGCATATTAAGATATTGCTTTATGCTTGCAGATTCTGTTCAGGCCACCTCTCTTTGGGACCGGCATCAATATGGTCTCTTCCAGATGAGTATCTTCCAGTGAGCCGGCTTCCGAAAGTCCTGCCACAGAGGAGTGAATGCTTCTGGCACTGCCTCGGTTTGTTGAAACATTTCAATTGGTAGTTCACAAATTCCTGGAGCCTCATTTTTCCCACAATGCCTTCAGGGTAGCATGGAGGTCCTCCCTCAGTGCCATCGTTTTTTGATCATGTGATACCTCTTGAAATGGCTGAACGTTCACCAATTATTTTTGGTATAGAGACTCTGTGTATTCCTTCCACCTTCTTTTGGAGCTTCCTGTAGTATTCAATATTTTACCCATTGACACTTCAAGCATTAGGTTGTCTAATTCTTCTTTTTTGATATAGTCTTTTTTTCCCCCTCTCTTCCACTCCTTTCTCTCCTACGCTTGCCAGTCAGAACTGGAATTAGAACTCTACAGGAACTACTGAAAATATATCAGATGTTCTAATCTGCACTGAGGCAGCAGGTCACCCTTTGAGGTAACAGGAGGAGGGGTTTTAATATGGTCAAGGTAGGTTTTTGTTGTATTAATAGACATTGCTAATCTGAGGAGGGTGGAAAAACTAACACCTTATGTTTAATGCCTTATACATGTCTCGTCTAAGGTTCCAAAAAGGTAGTTGCAGAATTAGCATGAGGGCATAAACCTTCGAAGCTCAAAGCAAGAAAACAACTTGGTCATGTCCAAACAAGTCGATTCCAAACAGAGTGACCACATGAATTCAAGTAGAGCAGCACTGCTCTACAGGGTCTTAGGGAATCAGATGTTTAGGGTGCACCCCCAAAACATAGCTAGGAAGGTTTGAACCACCCATCTCCATATTATTATGTGACTACAAACTGTATTTGCCACCCAAAGAACTCTTCCAAGGCCAGCTGCTCCGCCTTGCTGCTTCCTGATTTGGGGTGGAAGCCCTTCCAGCACAGGGGGAGGAAAAGCATGATTTTGCCTCCGACAGGGCCAGAGCCTGGTACGCGGCCGCACGAAGAGAACGCTGAATCTCAAGCCATGAGACTTCCAAGCTATTGCTAGTCCTGCCCCTTGCTGGGTTTTAGGCTCCTGGTCAGGCCTATCTGCCTCAGAAGCAAATTCTTGATAGGGACTGTGCTTCCTGCACTGAGGTTCTGCTTCTGCCAGTAGGTAGGGCATTTAGGAAGGCAGGTACCTTAATCTCACTTGCCTGTATCTCTCCCATCCCTCTCAGCCCTCCTCCAACTCAAGCAAGAGCCTGGCTAATTAGGACAAATTACAGCAGGTGGCAACTTGACTGGGTCTTTTTTTTTTTAACTTCACAATCCACCAGGGACTAAAAAGCTTTTAAGCAATTTCTCATTTAATCTTCAGACTCAAGACTAGATTTCACTGCAATCAAAAAGCACAGATTTGATGATTCGTTTTCTTCACAACTTTCAAGATTTAGTATCTTTCATAAACGGGATCAACACATTCTAAAGATAATTAAGCAACTGTCATTAAGAGCCCCTTCCTCCTCATTCTCTGCTTCGTGGGGCCCTCTAAGTGGGTAAATTATGTGCGCAATGACTTTCCCCTTTTCTGAAGATGAAATTCCATATTCCAAACCCCATTAGATTAGAAGCCCAACCAGTCTTAGTTCTTAAAGATACAATCAACTTGCAGGGCCAGCTGGTGAGATTTTAATTATTCCTCATTACATAGAAAGGCCTAAAAATGTTCAGATATTTCTCTCTCTTGTATCTTCAGTTTCTCTTTGCCACTCATGTTTAACCTACAGAGTGCCCACAAGGGCCTGCCGACAACATTCTGTGGATTTCTTTGGGGGAGAGCCTGATACTTGGCATTCAGCACAGAGACTAGGACAGTCATTCTCAAACTCCGCTGAGCTTAAAAAATGGATAGTCTAACTAAAACAGAGATTCTTGGGTCCTACCTCCCCTGAAGTTTTTATGCCTTAGGACTGGGTTGTGATTTGGAATTATAGATCAAATTCCACCATAAACTATTTTGAAGTCTTCGGTTCCTAGTGCTGCTATAACAACTATCCCAAGGGAGTGGTCTCAGAACAAGAAATTATTTGTGTCCGAGGTTATGAAGCTAGAAGTGGGAATTCCGGGCAGCAGCTCCAGAGGACAGTCTCGGTGGCCACGCTGGGGAAGACGCTTGTCTCGTCCCTGTCACCCAGCACTCCTCAGTTCCTGTGATCTTCATGTGGCATCAAGCCTTCCCATTTGGGGTTGCTTGTCTGTGTAGCTATTCTGCTCCTTTTAATTAGCAATGATTAGGTTTGAGACCTACTCTACACTGATACTGCCTTATTAACACAACAAAGAAAATGCTATTTCCAAATGGAATTCTATCCACAGAGTTGAGAAGTCAGATTTTCCCCACTGCCTCCTTAAAGTAGAATCACACTAAGCGATGTCGATGAGTCAAGCTTCTGGGACCTCCATTTGCTGGTGAAGTACAGCTGGAACTTGGGAAGAAGCAGCGGCAAGCATCCATTGATAATCTAAGCATGGAGCGCAGGAAGTATGAATCTGGAAAAAGTGGAAGTCATTAAAATATGAAATAGAATGCATAAAGAGTGATATCCTAGGCCTTCGTGAGCAGAAATGGACTGAATCAGACAGTGGGAGCGAGTCTACGTGGGGGACTAACAGAAGAGGAATGGTACTGCGTTCACGTCAAAGAGACCATTTCAAAATCGACTCTGCGGTGTAATGCTGTCAGCGACCGGAGAATACCCACGCCTCTCCAAGGAAGGCCAGTTCATACGACTCTTCTTCAAACGGATGGACCAATCCACCACTGATACCGAAGACAATGAAATCGTAGAATATTCTAGTTTCTACAGTCTGAAATTGGTCAAAAAAATGCAATCGAGATGTATTGATAGTTACTGACAATTAAAATATGGAATTCACAAATTAGGAAGGGGCCAATGGTTGGAAACTATGGCCTTAGTGACAGAAACAAGGTGGGAGATTACATGATAGGATTTTTCAGGACCCATGACCTATTAATTGGAAATATCTTTTTTCCTCAAAATAGACAATGACTATATCCATGGACCTCATCAGATGGAATACATAGGAGTCGAATCAACTACTTTGCTGGAAAGTGATAATATAATACAGAAGCTTAATATCAGTGCTTAATGCAGAATAAGGCCAGGGGCTGACTGTGAAAGGACCATCTAATGATCATAAGAAATTCAAGTTCAAGTTCAAGCTAAAAAAAAATTAAAACAAGCCCTCAGGAGTCAATGTACAACCTTGAGTATGTTCCAGCTTAATTTAGAGACCATTGGATAGATACATATTGGCACATTGAACACGAGTGAATAGATATCACATATTGTCATATCTAGATAACACATTGAATATAAGTGATACATTGAACATTAAAAGGATAAGACACATTAATCACTAGTGACAAAAGACCAGATGAGTTGTGGAATGACACCAAGGAAATCATATGTAGAAAGCAAAAAGTCATTAAAATACAGAAAAGAAAGACCAAAATTGGTATCAAAAGGGACTCAACTTATTCTGGAATGTAAAGTAGCTATAATCAGTGGAAGAAAAGATGAAGCAAGAGAACTGAGCAGAAGATTTTAAAGGGGAGCTGGAGAAGGCAAATAGTTGTACTGAAACATGCAGATACGAGGAGCTTGAAAACCCGGAGGGGTGTGCACTCAGCATTTCTCAAGCTGAAAGAACCGAAGAAGAAAAAGCAAGGCTTGCGTTACAATATTGAAGGATTCTACAGGCAAAATATTGAATGGTACAGGAAGCATCAAAAAAAAGAAGATGAAAGAAATTAGTCATCTTTCAACCACTTGGGAAAGTGGCATATGTTCAAGAAACACCAAACTGCATCAAAGATATTGGGGAAAAACAAGGCCAACGGACTTTAAGAGATCCGCATCCATGCTATTCCAAGGAAAAGAGATCCAACAGAAGGCAGTAACTATCCAACAGTATCATTAATATCACATGCAAATAAAGTCTAGCTGAAGATCATTATAAAATGGCTGCAGCAGAGCATTAGAAGTAAATTGCCAGAAATCCAAACTGAAGAAGATATCCTGCATGGGAGATCACTGCCAATGACAGATGCTTGCTTCTTCAGAGAATATCTGCTGAAAAACGTTCACCCATGTTTTATTGCCTGAAGGCTGTCTTTCTGTCTGCTTCTTCTTTGATCTGTATGCTGAGCAAATATCTGCCAAACTGGCTTGGATTACGAAGAGTATGGCATCCAGATTGGAGGAAGACACAGCTGAAGACGACACAACTTTCCGAGTGAAAATAAAAGCGAAGAGATGTGAAGACCCTTGCTGAGGAAGCTCTAAAACCATATCCCTCACTACAAATGAAACGTTAATATAAAGAAAACAAAAAACCATCACCATTGGGCCAATCAGCAGTATCAGGATAAATGGAGAAAATGTGGAAGGACTGCAGTTATCAAGGATTTCATTTTACTTGCGTCCACAGTCAGACCTATTGATGAAACCTAACAGTGGATTGCATTGGGAAAATTTGCTGCAAAACACCTTTTAAAGCCAGTTACGTCACTTCAAGGATTAAGGTGCCCTTGATCCAAACCCGTGCATTCAAATTCTGCACAAGAAGGGATACCAAAGAAGAAAACCATATCTTTGAATCATGATGGGAATGAAAATATTGTATCATAGACTGCCGGAAGAAAGAACAAATCTGTCTTGGAAGAAGTACACACAGTCAGAACGCTTCTTAGAAATAAGGATGGCACCACTCATCCCCTGTACATTGAGCATGTACACAGGAAGCAGAGCCTAGGGCGGCTATCACGCTGGGTAAAGTCAGGGAAATCAACCCTGAATGAGACCCCCTGACACATGGCTGCAGGATCAGGCTTGAACAGAGCAGCAAACACAGCACAGCACGACTGGACAGTGTTTCATTCTGTTGTACGTCGGGTACCAATTCGACGGCACCTAACAATAGCAACCACAACAAGAGACATCAGAATTCCAACACATATTTTTAGAGGACACCTTGAGTCCATCGCAAACTCCTAACCACTGTACCTGTGACTGGTCTTGTTTAGAAATAGGATCTTTGGAGACGTTATCAGTTAACCAAGGTCATATTGGAGTAGGGTCCTACACAGGAGAACTGACAGGGAGACTCAAAGGGTTGAATAACCCGGAGGATGCGGCTACAAATCAAGGAATGCCTTGCTAAAGACAAAGCAGACACAAGTATTAACCAACGTGAGCAGATCTTCACACCAAGGAACAATCTAGCAGATTATAACACTTTCAGCAAAGACCCACGAGTTGCTTTATGGAGATATTTCAGTCAAATAGACAAACTGGAGGTCGGTGTGTGGGGGCGTGGATCTGTGATAGTCTTTTCTCTTCAACTACGACAGAAGACAATGACTAACTTTGCGGATGACACAACCTAAGAGACAAAGGTCCTGTCTGTGAGTAGTAAAAACTAACATTTCTATATACCTGGGACCAAATAGAAACTCTACTCACTGTCATATCAGGGATCCTTACCTTGGGGGATGTGAACATGCACTTGAGTTTCCGAGGCACCCTTTCATGGGCAATTTCAGTCCACTCAGCAAGCATATCATCGCGGTAAGCCAGGGAGACGTCCATGGAAACTTCGGCATTTTCTCCTGTCAGAGAAAATGGAGGAAGATGCTTTGGAAAGAGTCCAGAAATTCATACAAGAAAAAGAGATAGACTGGTTCTTATCAAACTCCATCCCACAAATAAAACTTGAAGACTTAAAGATCAATGGCAGTTGAAGTTCTAAGCGTGAGGCCGTCTCTCCCCCAGCAAACCATCCTGCGAGCAGTCAGAGCTACAACGCCTCCAGAGACAGAGGGCTCCCTCTCTTCAAGGCAGCTGCCACCACTCTCAGCTCGAAGGGTTATACTCTGACTCACGCTCAGACTGCATACTCCTGGAACTTGCAACCAGTCAGAGTCCCTCGGAAGGTGAGGTCCTTCCATGAAAAGTCCCTTGGTTACTGGAAACCTTAACCTGACTGCCTGTGTCTGCACTCCTCTGCTGAAGGTGACCAGGGCTGTCAAACACCCCCAGGGACATGAGTTAAGGGCCTTTTCCATGCTCCTGGCAGGCTCTGGTTTCGACACATCCTTCTTAAAGTGACCTCCCCAAAACTCTCTGATATAGAATCTACTATTTGTCTGAGTATTTAAAACCCCTTTTTCACTTTTTGGACACAACTAAAGTAAAAGATAAATGATCTTTCCTAAAGGATGCTGTTACACACACTCAAAAAACCAAACTCACTGTGATCGAGTTGCTCTGACTTACAGCAAGCCTACACGACATCAGAGGCGTGTCCCTGTGTGTTTCTGAGGCTGTAAATCTTGACAGGAGTAAAAAGCCTCACCTTTCTCCCAGTGGCCACCTGGGGATGCAAACTGTTGACCTTGCAGTTAGCAGCCCAACGTGTAACCCATTATGCCACTAAGGCTCCTCATTATACACACAGATAGGAATATAATAAGGAGTATATCTTCATCTAAATGACTGTTCACACATATTTTCCTATCAGTAAATATCACAAAATGTGTTTGACTCACCACAGAGCTCATTAAGGAGATTAGACTAACAATAAGTGCATCTCTCCATTTTGCACATTTTATACTATGCTAAGTTGTAGTATTAAGTTAAATTTGATGGGAGTGAGGGGTAAGGGGGGGCAGCCCCCACCCACTGCTACTACTCACGGGTTCAGTAATGCACAGTTGTACGGTTGAGATATGTAAGTATTATATTAAAGTCATCGAGAGCGTGAGAGATATTACAATAATACAGTCAGACACATTACATGGTAGCATTGCTCACCTCCGCCCCGCTTGGTGGTCCTCGTAGGGGGAACCTGGCTACAGGAGCAGGAGCAGCCTTGGGGACCGAGAACCAGGAAGCCTCTCCTGGCCTGAGAGCCAGAGAGGGGCCCGGAATCGGGCAGAGCCTTCAGCCCGGAGCTTGGGAGAGCCTCTCGGGCTCCGGAGCTCCTCTCTTCTCTATTGCTAACCACCCATTATATCACTTTAGGGGGACATCATTATAGAATCACACGTCACAGAAAGAGGCAATACAATTAGGCAATACAAGCAATAGGAGGGGGATGACCTAGGGGTGAACACCCAATAGTAAAGGGAGGGAATAGGGGGGCATGTGTGGCAAGATGGGTCCCAGGCTTGCCTTCAGGCACTCCTTCAAGGGAACAATGTCAGAAGGGAATGGGCCCTATTTGTTGTGGGATAAGCAGCGGTGTCTGCTTGATCTAGACAGCTGATACCTCTCAGGGAGAATGACTCCCAATCCACTCTTGATGACCTCCAAGTGTACAGTCATTCTCAAGCAGCTAAGTCTGGCATATATTTGGGGGAGACAACTTGAGGGAAATCCTCTGTTCCCCACACTAAGTAAGTTCAAGAATAGAGGGATCTTAATGGGGGAGGGAGGGGTACGCCAGCCCTAAGACTATACGATTGGAGATCCAGCTCCTGCTGGGGTGATGAGCCTTGGTTCAGTTCCAGGCTCTAGTTCAAAGCCTTGAGTAAATGACAGCATCCAGACACCTTACTTAGCTCGCCTGGTCTGTAAAGCAGCAGAAAAGATGAAGACTCTTAAGGAGATACATGGACACAGTGGCTGCAAGAACAGACTCAATGAAAGCCAACGATGTTGAGGATGGCCCGGGCCCAGCCAGAGGGCACCCAGCAACAACCACAAAGCAGTATCCATCTCTAGAACGACACCAATTACATGATGGTAAGTAGGATGTGCCGAGTGGCCAGTAGGTACTTGATCATGTTAACTGAGCCTAAGCCTATGTGCCCATACGCAGACAAGCATGCCGGGGCCCTCTCTGTCTGCAGTGAAGCCAGGGGTGGTGAGAAGTGGGGCCTGGGGGCCTGGCCTTCCTGTTCATTCATGTTTTGGCTGAGAATGCCGAGGAATCCAGCAATCATAAATTCAAACTTGACTTTCCGGGTCAAGATGGAGGTACATATGTCAAGATTAGAGGAAAGGACATATTTGACAAAACAGTTGGCCGGTGTGGTTTACCACTTTTAAATATTTTGACAAACTAGTACTCTTGTTCAGGTGAAACACACACACACACACACACACACACACACACACACACACACACGGAGCAGCCCCGGTTCCGGTTCCGAGGAGATGCCTCGGAGGAAAGGCATCTCGGGTTCGCCCCAGAGTCCCATGACTCCTCACCACATCTGCTGGGAGAAAAGCAGTAGAATTCAGGAGAAGTGCCAGATGAATGGAGCGTACCGCAGAGAGGAGCCCCTCAGCTCTGACCGAATGCCCTTCCCGGCTTTCTCTAGGAGAAACATATGCAGTGTTTCTGGGTGCTTCCAAGAATGACTCATACAAGCGTCTGGGATGCTCTAATCTCAGCTTTGAGGGGTTAGCGTGATTGCTAAAAACAGCATAGAGAACAGACAGGAGAGGTGTGCTGTGGAATTCCGGTCTTGATTCTGCACCTAACTACCCAAGTGATCATGGGTAGGCTGAAGACCATCCCTATCTACATACAGGAAGCACCTGCATTTGACCCCAGTTATAGCTTTCCTGAGTATCATAGGTCAGTGTTACCAGATTCCCCACCCCTACCCTTTGAGGGAAAGCCACAAATTCCGATTTTCATGAGATTTCTCCCAACTTGAAATGCCCGTATGTAATTCACTATGGAAGGAGCCCCTTGGCGTTCACCAGTGAAGCACATGTCTGCTGGCTGAAAGGGTAGTCATCTGAGCCCACCACTAAATCTGTGGGAGACAAGATGCGGGGTTCTGCTCTCGTGCCTACTGCAGCCGAGGAGATCTACGGAGCACTTCTAGTCTGTCCTGTAGGGTGATTAAGAGTTGGAACTTCCTGGACAGCACACAATAACAAGTCACTGAAAACGAGAAGAAAACAAACAAAAATCATCTCTGCAGATGTGAAGTCAAAGACGCCAGGCTCCCTCTGCATCATGTGCAAGGAGGCGCCCACTGGATCCTGGGTGCTGCCCACCCCTCCTTTCTAGCCGCTTCACAATCAAGCACAGCTCTCTCCAAGCTGTCTATGATGAACTGGTCAATGGCCACTATTTTCTGCCTAAGCCATACATAGTAGCAACTTATTTCTTACACGACCTGTCACCCTGAAGGATCTGTTAGCATTGATTCGTGAGGTACAAGAGTCTCCTGAGGAATTGATGCCTTTGAACGGTGGTGTTGGAGAAGGGTACTGATGGGCCACAGACTGCCGAGAGGATAAACAAGTCTGTCCTGGAATACGCATAGCCAGAACCTTCCTGAGAAGTGGGGGTGGTGGAACGCCGTCTCACAGACTTGGAACGTCTCACTCGGAGGGCAGCGTCTGGGGAAGGGCCGCGTGCTTGGCAGAGGATCGTGAATGGGGGAAGGACACCCGGAGGTGGACGGACATAATGAGCTCAAATACAGCGATGATGGTGAGGATGGCGCAGGGCCCAGCAGTGCTTTGTTCTGCTGTCCATGGCGTGGCTATGAGACGGAACTAACAAAAATAACAACGACAAAGTCAAGGCCCAGGAAGTCTCCCCTCCTCACACATAGCCCCAAGCTTCCAGAGCTGCAAAGCGTATAGTCTCACAATCTTTCGCCATCTTTGATAATGTACAGGAAGGCTTAGTTCAGTGAGGTAAAGTACAGTGTGTTAGCTATCATTGTTATCAATCTATTCTGAATGGGAAACACCCAAGTTGGAAAAACTCACAGCCATGGAGTAGATTCTGACTCACAGAGACGCTGGTGGGCAGGGTGGAACTGCCCCTGTGGGGTTCCAACACAGTCACTCTTTACAGGAACAGAAAGTCTTGTCCTTCTCCTGAGGAAAAACTGGTGGCTTTGATCTGCTGATCTTGCAGTTAGCAAGCCAACGCACAAGCCACTCTCCCACCAGGGCTCCAGAAGACATGTACACATGCCTTTACTTCACACTCATGACCAGGTTTCAAGATCCTGGGGCTTCCCACTAAGAACTCCAAATCTGGAGCAAAAACAAAAAATCAAAAACAGTGAAGCCCTAGCCAGAGGAGCAATGGTGTGGAGCAGGCCGCCTAGATCATTTTCTCTCTGGCCTCTGATGGAGTCGGAAATAAGGTTAAGCTTTAATAACTATGTAGCATGTAATAAAATGCCGGTTCCATGACTCCTGGGATACTGCGTGGGCAATACTTCCCCCCCCACACCCCAGATAATGAAGGTGAAGAATCCAAATTGAACTCCCTGGGAGAATGGCAAGAAGGCAAGGGATGCATCTGGCACTTGGAAAAAACCCTTCCTGTAAAAGGAGGCCACTGGTTAAACCTGTTCCCATGATCGAGGTGTAAGGTACTGGCACTAGGTGTTTATGCGCTTGAAATGCATGGTTTTGCACACCAATACAGACCAAGACCACCCGCTTCGCTCTCTGTGGGGCGGGCCAAGCTTCACAGGTCTCGGATCGCCTTGGAGACCCCTCTTTCAGTTGGGTGGCAAATGCGTTCAAAATACCGGGAAGGGAGGTGTGCAAAGGCACTGTGGTGGTTTACATATACAATCTCCATCAGGTTACAGGGGCAACACCCTGCCAGGAGGAA